GAAACCTGCTGTTAAGCTGGACTTTGCTCTCTTCAAATAATGTGGGGACAAAGAAAAAGCTGCAGTGAACCAAAATTGGCTTGTGATCACAGCAGGGAAACAAATCAGCCCTCCAATGGCATCCCTAGGTGTTAGTGCAGGAGGATCAAGGGGGAGGGAGGGAAGGGGCAAGCAATCCATGATGAACCCATTTGTCCATCTGGCACCATTGCCAGTTTTGTTCTCAGTCACCAAGTGCCATTACTTTTTGCCATGGAGGGTTGTCATAATGTGTGAATGTGCCTAATGCTTCCATATTCAGTATTGGACTTGAATTCATGTCTTTATCAAAAGCCCAGCATTCTCCCCACTGGAGCACACAGAGGTTTCCCCACCCTTTCTCATTTTGAAGCACTCTTCCCATTCATTTATACTGGAAATATCAATGACAAAAGTTCCAGAAGGACCTCCTGAGAAAACAGAGGTCAGCATACATTCACAGATTTAAAAAGAACAACTGGTGTCTGAATATGTGAAAAATGAAGCATTCATTTTCTCACAGAGGAACTGAATGAGTCAAGGAGTGTGGAAGAAGGCAATATTGAAGAATCTATTGAAGAAAATGATAAAGAAGGTAGGCCAGAAAACTCAGGGAAAACCACATGTTTTATTCTTTGGGGTATCATTCCCTGTAGCTACCATGGGAGGTGCTGGTTTCCCTACTCCCTGCCTTGCACTGAGCTAATGCTAGTGTCTTGCTGTATAAATCTTTGTCCATGGCTGTGTAAATGATCTGGAGTCATATGGTGGTGATTTTTAAGAAATGTGCCTGGGTATAAACTGTCCAGTTTCAGGCAGGGTCCTATCACCAGTATGAGACTTTTAAAAGATAAATGAAAGTAAATTATGTTTCCTGCTTAATGCAGTGAGCCATAAAAACACAACTGTCTTAGCTAGGCACACAAGTATTCTATGCGTGCCCTGCACTGTCCTGCTTTAAAGAGGGAATAATATGTGTATTTATTTTCATTTTACAGCTCCTGACTTACTCTAAGCATCAGTCAATTTGAGCAATAGGGAATGAAGTTCATAAGTCGTTGCCGTTCACTTCAGCTGTATCTTAGAGAATGCTTTGATGTGGTGACTCATATGACTCAACAACAATAGATTTGGTGCAGGAAAATGTTATTTCTGTCTGTAATGAAATATATTGCAATCTCAAAAATTTAAGCATATTTGTCTTCTATTTGTATACTAAACACTTGGTATGACCAGCCTGATTCATCAGACCAAAGAATGTGTGTTAAGCCAGGTAGATCAGTATTGATGCAATGTAAGATTATCTTCAAGCACATTTTCCATCCCAGCTTCTTCCTGCTTCCTGGTCACTTTTGTTTTTGCTCAGTTTGTAGAAGAGTTCTGCTCACTGTTTTGTGTCTTTTTTGTTAATTCTAATAAAATTACTGCAGTACTGTGGATTCTGGATTTTTTCCCTAATATAGTATCCCAACCACTTACAATTTTTGAAATGTGGAAATCATGTGTGTATCATAAGGAGCATGTGTGAAATTCTCAAAAGGAATCAGATATTGCAGGAGAAATTTTCACAGAGTGGAGTTGCCTAGAGAATAATTTGAAGAGGGGTGTAAATGCCTTCAAGAAGCAGATACATGAATAATGACCTCAGTCATGCCAGTTCTGCATAAAGGTAAAGCACAGGTGTTTTGTGGCAGGGGAAGTATAGTCAGAAAGGACTCAAACAACTTTTTGAGGACTTCTGTACAGACATCCTCCAATTGCTACTTACAGACCAGGTTAATTGTTGCGTCTTTAAACATGGGTAGCTGTTCAGTGCCAAATTCTGTCATGGCTTTGTTTTTTATCTTGGATATTCATGTTTTATTTAGGTTTTTTAGAGTTCTAATAAATCCCTTGCCCAAATTCATTTTCCCCTTAAGTGAAAACAAATAGTGCCATCCCACATGATCAAAAGCTCGAAGCACATCCAATGAGAGCATTGCTATTTTTGGTTTCTCCTCAGCTGCTGTATATTTAATATTTAGCGCTCTTTGGGTTGCATCAGCCGTTTGTTGGGGTAGCATCAAGCCGTACTGATCTGTGTGGGTATAATTCACTAGGAATTTGTTCATCTTTGAGCCAAAATGGAAGAAAACAAATTTGATCCTGGTTTTTTAATGTAATTGGTCTGTTTCCTAAGGGAAGGGTAAGGTCTTTCCCTTGTTTTGATGTAACTATTCTTCTAGATAATTTAGAAGATTCTGATATTTTCCTCCACCTAATATTGAGTTATACAATTTTGAGAAGTGTATGGATACACTCTCCTTCCAGATTTTGTAATGATGAATGCTAGTAATGTACCCTTTTCTGAGTCTCAGAATAGCTGTTCTGATTTCCACTACTGTTACTGGGGAGTTAAGCTGTTGTTTATGCTCTTCAAAAATTGGTATATTGGTAATACACCCACAAATTCTTTAATATTTCTCTCTCAATTCTGTTTTATATAACTCTTCCTAATAGCAGCTCTTCTTTTAAGTACCTCATGGCTGCATATGATTTAATGTGTCTAATGTTTCCAATTCTGATTTGGTCCCCATAAGTTGTATAAAGGTTTTCTTTCAACCCATTTCCTTATGTTCTTCTGTCAGTCTCTTTCTTTTAACTTCATGTTATTCTTGGACTCTGTTTCTCTCTTTTTTTAATCTAGCTCCCTCTGGTATAAAATACCCTCTGAAGAATCCTTGTATCCCAGAAAAGAGCAGGCTTTATTTGCTCTTTCTCATTAGTCTCATAAAAAACATAATTTCTCTTCTAATTCTTTGAACAATTTGGGGGTTTGTAAGTGTACTTGAACGTAACTTCCAAATTTTAGGTTTATTCTCAAGGATTGTAGTAGACCATGTTATGCCAGTCTGTTTCAGTCAGTGGCAAAGGCAAGCTGGCCAGATGTTGCCGAGGAGCAGAGGCCACCAGGAGGGAAACTGTCAGAGCCAGAAAACAGCTGTGGCTGGCTGGTGGGCCTTTGCAGAGAGGGAGCTTCCAGGAACACTTGGTAACTCAGGACTGTGACACAGCAGGCATTGCAAATCAGCGAAATCCGTTCTCTTGGAAGATGGCGGAGGAGGGACAGTGGACCTGGCTTCAGGGATCCCATGTCCCCACCATGGATTCCCCTCCAAAATAAGTTAGGGTGCTTCAGGCCCCCAAGCTCCCCCGCTTGAAACCCTCAGCTAATCTCGTTGTTAGCAGTGGAAACTCTTTGTGGTAACTTGCAGTGGGTAAAGAAGTGTAGGTAAGGTTCTCCAGATATTTCATTTATGAGACTGCTATCCCATTGTTTCTCAATGGACTCAAAGTGGCCTCCACCATTAATCTTATCACCACAGCAAAACCCCTGTGAGGTAGGCTGGGGAGTCACCCAGCTGGCCCCACTGTTGAGCGGGAACTAGAACCCAGATCACCGGAGTCCCAGTCCTGTGCTCTTAAGCACTACACCACACTGGCACTGAGTTTTAGCAAGTGAGCAGTATAACCATATATTAAAATACCAACCAACCAAACAATAATAAGGGTACTACAGGAATACAGAGTTTGGTATTTTTAGCTAAAGGAATGAGAAGGCAAATGGTTTTATTAGAAATAAATCAATATGTATTTTATTGTATCAAAAATATAATATTTTATTCTCGCTCACAGTCTTTAGCTGTGCTGGCTGTAGAAATGGATCCGCACATTTCAGCCAGATCTCGGGCCAGAGTTAGGATTCCATCTGATGCTGTCCTCGCAGGGCTGGGTTTCCCCTTTCCCCATTGCCACTGTCTCCTCTGCGGGTGCTTTCTGGCCAACCAGGGGAGCTGATGGAATTCCCCAGGGGATCTCATGGAGCGCTTGTCCTCAGTGGTGTCTCCTCCTGTGCGTCTCTCACACTTTGCTCTTCACTCACCTGCCTGGATTTCAGGCTCAGGACCAGCACTTGGCAACAATTGCCAAGCATTCATATCCACAGGTGAGCTCAGCTCATGAGAGGGCTGGATTTCAGGCTCGGGACCAGCACTTGGCCTCAGAAACTCCTGGCTTTTTTCAGGAGTCTGTTTATGACCCACAAGGACCAACAGCTCTGTGAGGGCACAGGAAGCTGGTGAGAGCCGGCCTGCACGCATTATGACATGAAGGTCCTGATCCCCACTGGGCCAACTGGGGGATGCCAGGCCAAATCCTTTGATTGACCGTATCCATGGTTATGACTGATTGGGATACTTCAGATGGTGCAAAATAGAGCAGCCAGGTTGCTGACAGGGACTAGGCATTGTTCTCATATAACCCCAGTCCTCTACCAGCTTCACTGGCTTCCCATCTTAAGTCCGGGATCAATTCAAGGTGCTGGTTATTACCTATAAAGTCCTTAATGGCTTGGGACCTGGATACCTAAAGGAACGCCTTCTTCCGTATTTGCCCTCCAGCCCCCTGAGATCAGCAGCAGAGGCCCTCCTCTGGGAACCCTCCATGAAAGACATTAAGAGGCTAAGTACCCGGAGGAGGGCTTTCTCTGCGGTGGCGCCCCACCTATGGAATGCGCTCCCCAGAGGGGTCTGCCTGGCACCGTCGTTACTTGTTTTTCGGCGCCAGGCTAAGACTTTTTATTTCAACAATATTTAAATAACTTTTAATATTAGCTATATATGTTTTAATCTGCAGCCATGGTGGATCTGGAATTTATTTGTATTATGTTTTATATTACTCTTCTTATTTATTTATGTAAGCTGTCCTGAGGCTCTGCAAAAGGACAGCATATAAATATTCTAAATAAATTAAATAAATAAATAAATTGGTGCCCAGAGCATTTGCCAGAAAACTTCTGTGGCTTTAATCCTGCTTCTATGTGCTAACATTCGTATTGCTGCAAGGTTTTATTTTGGGCTTGATTGATATTTTTACTGTGGCTTTAAGCTTCCATGTTGCACTCCATCTATTTAACCTCAAGGCTTTCATTGTTGTGAACTGTCTCAAGAGCTTTTGGGGGAGTAGAAACACAATGGATAGAGAGTCATGGAAAAATAAGTCTCCTCTTCCACCTAAGCTCAGCCAAAGGCAGGCTGATGTCTGAATTTAAAAACTCATCAACAGCTTCTCAAATGTACACCATCCATAGGATCCTCCCTAGTTCAAAGAAGGAGCATGTTGCATCTCAGGAGTGGGTTTTTACAGTGAAACTGGAACTCCTGTAAGAAGGATAATGACAGTTACATTAGCAAAACTTAGGCGGGACCAGTGTGACTTTCAAGCATAGCCACAATCAACTTGTTCTTTAAAAAATGGAAAGACTACTAAAAGCCCAAAGACAGCAGCCTAACTCTTCCAAACATGCCTAGAATCCCCCATACATCGTTTTGTTATATCATTTCCTTTTTTAAAAATTGACAATCCTTAACAATAACAAAACATACAATCATCTTACAGCACGTACATTTTCTATCTAACAATAAATATTTACATCTCCATTCCAAGTCTATTCCACAAATGGATAGTCACACACGCACACAGAGAGAGACTTACTAAACAGCAGACCAATATACTATAGGGTTATTCAGCATATTTATCTCAATATTTGATACCATATTCAAGGTCAGTAAGGGGTGCCAAAGTTTACTGAAATTACCCATTTTCATTTCCCCTCTCAGGATTCTAGTCCATCTGGTCAATTTCTCCACTAGTGCAATTTCCCATACCCTTCCTAAATATCTTTGAAAGGAGAAGCCCTTAACATCTTTCCAGTAATGTCCAATTTCTATTCTCTCTGCTCCCATAAGAATCTCACCCACTCTTTATTATTTACATTCTTATTCCCATCCACAAAGAGGGAGAATAATAGAAGAATTTCATTACAAATCTTTTTTCGATGCGTTAACTTTTCTAACCATTTAATTGCCTCTTTCCAGAATAATTTCACTTTTGGACAAGATATCCACATATGTTCAAACAAGCCTTTTACCTCACAATTTTGCCAACACATGTCTGATATTTCCTTATTTATTTTTTGAAGTTTTGTGGGGAATAAGTGCCATCTATGAATTCTCTTCAATACCATTTCCTCAGATTTTGCCAATACTGATTCGTATAATTGAGAGTTTCATATTCCTGTCCACACTTTTTCTGGTATTTTAATATTTAAATTCCTTTCCCATACTGAGTTTGTTTCTATGTAACTGGCGCACTCATCTTTTACAATATTTTTATACAAAATTGAGATTAAAGCTTTTTTTTTACTATTAGGGTCCCCCATACAATACTTTTCTAACACTGTCAATGTTCTAATACATAGGTCCTCAAACTATGGCCTGTGGGCTGAATCCTCAGAGGTTTTGGACTCACTGCAGCCGTGCCCGCCACCACCACTGCCTGTCTCATTGCGTGCGGCAAGGCAGCAACTTGCTTGCTTGCTTGGAGACCGTTTTGAAGTCGCTCGGAGAAAATGATCTCCGAGCGAGCAATCCGCTGCCTCACCACACATGCGCTCACCAGTGTAATGCCAATATTTCTGATTCTAATTCATTAATCATTACTTTAGCAAATGCTCCTTCATATAGGCCATGAGTCCTCAAACTACGGCCCGCCATGCTCACTTCTCTGGCCTGCCTCGGAGCTTTTGGACTCACTCAGAGAAAATGATCTCTGAGCAAGTCCAAAAGCTCTGAGCTGGTGCAGGTGTTCTTTGAAACTGAGCAGAGAGGTGGCGCAAGCATCAAATTGTAATAGCTCAACTGCGCATGTGCTGGATTCCCCCCACCCCCCCAACATTGCATGCATACACAGAGCAGGAAATAGAAGTGAGGAGGGTGAAAAAGAGAGACAAAGATGCTAAAAATGGATTGAAGGTAAGAAAAATATAACTTTTTATATCCATTTTTATGTATGTGAGCCACGTCCCTGGGCTGCAGGCCAAGCTGCCATTTCCTTGCTGAGCTGTTTGATGGTGGTGGTGGCTTGCACAGAGAAGGCTCCTGCGCCTCCTATGGGCAAGCTGCTGCCGCTGTCCCTCCCCTCCCCTTGGAAAGAATCCCTTACCTCCCTCCTTGCTGCCCTCTCCTGGCTAGGGGAGCCACCCCGTGCTCGCCTCTTCAGTCTCCCACTGCTGCTCTTGCTCCCTTGGAACCGGGATGGTGACAAGGAGTATATTTTCCATTATGCCCAACCAGCATGGCCAATGGAAGTTTTAGTCCAATTCATCTGGACCCTACCAGTTTTGGCAAGGTTGCACTTAAAATATGGTAGTCATTAACTCTGCATCCAAATACACCCATTGTGTATTGGGAGAATTGTTCTGGGCTGACTTGCTTCAAATACTTAAGAGTGGCATTAACAGTATTAACAGTATTTATCCTTAGTATTTTTACTTCATTCTTTGTAAATGCCAGTTACAGTTATCAGCTGCATTATGCAAAATACTATATTTAGTGCCTTGGTTGTCTTGTAACTATGTCCCTTGAATGTGGACATGCTCTTTCCCACCTCATGTTGGGCTTCTGCTGCAGCCCAAGGGAGCAGAGCAAACATTTTTTTTAATTTTAATTATTTTTACTGTGCAGTGTGCATTGGAATTCATTCATATTTTTTCCAACTATAGTCCGACCTCCAAACAGTCTGAGGGACAGTGAACTGGCCCCATGTTTAAAAAGTTTGGGGACCTCTGATTTAGGGGATGTATCAAACCAAAAACAAAACAAAAGGCTCTGCAACAGTTTATATAATCCTTTATATAATAAAATACAAGCAGCATTCTATTGATTGCTAGCACTGTAAAGTTAGATAATACTGCATGGATATCATAATGTAGAAATTCACCTTTACATATTCTGAATAGTCAGTGATCAAAGTAACTAACAGTGATGGAAGTGTGTATAATATACACTTGGATTTATAAACAATATACATGTGTGCATGTAGGTAGTGCCCAATCGTGCCATTTTGCTAGTGCTAATAATGCATTTTCAGAAATTAGATTTGAAACTATGTGCAAGATGAGAATCCAGCTAAAGTTATGCTTGTGCAAATAAAACACACATGCTCTTGTG